TACTCAAGCCAAGTAAATACACTATTCTTTCTGTGGCCCCTGGCTGGATTTTACGCTTTTCTCGCTTATTGATTATTGCTCTCACTCGGGTTTTGAACTCTTGATTGGGCAAAACAGTACGAAGATCCCACACCGGGCTCTGGTATTCAGGGACAAACTGTTTTCACACATTTTATAGAAAAAATGATTAATAATAAACGAGTCACATAAATGGCCAATAGATGCATCAGTGGAGAAATTAACGATCGGTCCCTCGAGCAACAATTAACCGACCGTGTTATGCAGAACATTCACAGACCATGTGGCTTTAGTTAACTGCTTTCTTCCTTATAAGAGAGGCACATGTGTCCTTTCAGAAATGCCAAGTGGATTAATGTGGTTACACAAACCCTTTGTATTGTGCTTTGTTTAAGACAGATAAATTAGGTTTTATGATTTTTTACTTATTTATTTTGTTGGTGGGGGGGCAGCCCTGATTTTATTTGTTTTTACGAAAAACAGATAATCAGTAAAGTCTCAGTTTGTTATTCGACCCCGAATAACACACTCTGTAACATCCTGTAGTGCAGGGTTGTCAAATTCATTTTCACAGAGGCCCACARGAGCATTKCAGTGGTCTTCAAAGGGACAGATGRAATTAACTTAAYCGTTTCATGTTTWACTTTGACWAAACAGAAAATGTAATGTTACTCATCTCATACGGCTGAGCACTGCTCACAAACAATAACTGAGCTCTACGTGGTATTTKCTGCATAGGAACAGTATTTTAATATGTCCTCTTAAAAAACTGTAACATACCTTTTTTACAGCTAACTAATGTGAAATAAATAATACATAAAACTTACTAAAAGTAAAAGTATGAGAGTTTTACTCACTGTTGAGTTGTAGTAAGTCTTGAACTCTGAACTCTCCCACTTTACAGGGAATTCCCATGCATACTTGACATGCTTTAGAGAGTATGTATAGTTTATAGTCAWTGCTGGCTTTGAAGCAGCTTATTTTGAGACATTACTACAGGGCTTTTCTACTAATCGCTCAGGAGGCCACAGTTACTTAAAGCCAACAGGACAAGTATTATTATCCTTCACATTTTAAATGTTTATTTTGTTGCATTGAATCATTGATATATTAAAAAAAGTCATATTAAATTAAGTAAAAAAAGTGGGAGGGGCACCYTTTTGGCGGGCCGGACAGAGATCATTTGTGGGCCACAATTGGCCTGTGGGCCTTGAATTTGACACGTGCTGTAGACTTTTCTTTTTTGTCTGGTTGTTTTCTTCATTTCCTTTCTAACGCAGATACATTTTGGTGAAATCATAGGTGCAAAGTTTGCAACGGCACACCCTGACAGCTGTCCTGAGTCTTACTGCATTTGCTATTATCATTGTTCCAGTCCACTCTGTCTGCACTCCTTTGGCCTTGGTGTTTGCATAACAATAGAGCAAGGAGAGCAGACTTGTACAATTCTGCTAAATCACAATGCAAATGTTTGCCTGTGTGGTCCTCTATAAGCTTTTAGTTTATTTTAAAACGTTTGTATTAGTATTTAATGGCGCCATCACGACAAAAAAAAATCACTTTTCTTGTGAAAATGTCGTATATGCTTCATTGAAGGCATCAAATTTGATAAAAGTTGCAGCTGAAAAGTTTTGGGAACTTTTCTGCTTGTTTGGGAGCTTTTTTTATTCTGTCATCTTTTGACACATCAGGATGCAGTTCACAAGAAAGGCAGAAAATAAATCAAACTATTTTATTCAATTTAACTCTGACAAAGAAGACAGTTCAATCCACTGTCAGCTGTGTTTTTTTGGAATACCCGGTAAATAAGCTAAGCCACTTACAGCTTTTATCAGAGATAGGTAGTTTTAAATAATAACCACGAGTCTGTCTCTGTACGTCAGGAATAGCACAAGAAAGCAATTACGGACAGTGAAACAAGAAAATCAAGTCCAACTGGTCTCCATTTCCCGGTGGAAATGCTGAAGATTGATGCCTGCGTCTTGGTTTCTAAAGGAGCTGACGGAGTGGGTGGACAAATTATTAGAAAGCAATACTGAGAAAAAAAAAGACTTGGAGTTTCGGACAAGCATGAAAAAGTATCTTAAATTTTTTAGTCTGCGCATATTAAGTTCATGGCTGATTTCTAACTTAGAAAATAGGAAATAAGGCCCAGACACATCAACTTCATACCGTGAGCTTTAGTCATCAGTGCCATCATGTGGGTTAAAAATTGTTTAATGTAACTGTAATGTCTGAACAGACCACAATAAGTTGAGATCACTAAAAATTTTTAGACTAATTGAATTGAAACCGACCAAATGAATTTGTTGAAAACTACACCTTTGGGACTCATTATTTTCCTGCTTTCTTTCAGGCACTCAGACACCCTGCCACTAACATGTCATCAGTCATTCTCACTTTTCTCCCCAGATTCTTCTTAAAGTGAAATATATCTGAATTMATGTTGTTTTTTTGGTAGCTGTGCTTATATGACTTATGAGTTGTGGCGAAATTTCAGAAACGTAATTTTTTTAAATTTATCCATAAATGATTCTTTACAGATAAACTTAAAACTGTTTTTTTTAAATGCTTCTAAAATACTTCTTTTAACGTTTAGATGTATTAAACTCTAATTCTTAATTCACACAAAGGTTTTTTTTGTTATTATCTTTATTGAGTAAAAATGTGACCTCTAAAAGTACGCAGCTACGCAAATGTCAAGTTTGGTTTTGATTTGCTAAAGCTGCAATGAAAAAAAAAGCACAACAGACAAAGCAAACATTGCATTGTGAAAGGGTCAACTCATGATTATGTTGGGGGAAAAAATGGAGAAAAGAAAGAACCTCAGCACCACCTGCCCATTATCAAACAGCAGACAGACAAATTTAGCGACTGGCTAATAATGCTGCACTTGGCAGATTAAGTGCCCGGTATTTCCCTTAGGAGTTTTGGAGTCTGAGGCAGACCTAAAAATGAGTGTATATTGGCCTGAAATGCATCTCCAAATAAGTGAAAATTTGTGTCTGGGACTGCTGGGTGTGCAATTAAGCAGTTGTTCCCTAAGACTGTCTAAACACACTTGGTAATAATACGTCATTATTGTATTTACAATTTTCTCTGCTGGCCATTTTTCTCAAATTGAACTGCTAACAAAAAGGAATTGTTTTAATCCTTTTTGGATTCAAACACTAAGAAAATGTGTAAAGTTCTTATTTTACCAGGTGATTTAGTATTTTATGCCTGCATCTTGGTGGGCCCTCGTGACACGATTAAACCCAATTATATGCTAATTGATACATTCCTCCTTTTGATGTAAACAATATAGTCATAAATTAACATAGATGAAATTGCGAAACGTCGAATATCTAAGCCTAAAAACTGCAGAGGCCTGGTTATTTGCAATTATCGGCCCAAATTATCATGCAGATAAACACTGGATGTGAATCAAAGCCTAACAACATGAACTCAGAGAAATCTACGAGCTGGTAAACATGTCTAAATTTTGAGATATCAACATCTCTGTAAACACGCTGAGCTGAATATCATTACAGGTATTAACGATGCCCTTCAGAAAACACTTTCATCTCAGGCCCAGTCATAAAAAGGGTAGTTGGTTTGCCAGCACAGAGAGGCTGAAAAATTAATACCGCGTAAATGTTCTCATGGCATCCTGATGTGTTAACCTGCAGAGAAAAGCAGTGTATATCTGCTATTGACGCTTGAACATGGTGGTGGGTTCTTAATAGTATTGGCAGCCCTCTCTTAGGACTCATTAGCACCGACGATTACTCCACACAGTCCTGTAATGGCCAAGGTGTGTGAGGCAGTTTTACGGGACCACTGTAGCGAGACCTCATGTTGCAGTGGTTTTATGAATTAAATTAAACTCCCAGTCTGGTTTCCCACAGTCGTCTGACCTAAACTTCCTCTAAAATAGTGGAAACCCTGAAAAGTGAGCTTCCTCCTCCTTCATACACTTCAGGACGGCAGGGCTACAAAATATCAATATCTGCAAATTCAGCTTTTTCTTGATATCTATATTTGTACATCAGAATAAGTTTACATCCACATTTTCTGAAGTTATTACAGTGTTTTATAGATGGTTCAGGGTTAAATAAATGATTCGGTGGTTGATTTTGACAAATTTTATATACATTCTCATGTTGTTTGGTATGTTATAACCTTTTTTCTTCTTTCAGCACACTTTTCATTTAATAATTAATATAATTTTTAAAT